CACAATTTGATAAAGCCAGTAGGACCACATCATCTGCAAAAAACAGAGAAGCAATCCTAAGGCCACCAAAACAGATCCCCCCAACACCTTGGCTGCGCCTAGAAATTCTGTCCATAAAAGTTATGAACAGAGTCGGTGACAAAGGGCAACCTTGGCAGAATCCAACTCTCACCGGGAACAAGCCCGACTTACTGCCGGCAATGCGGACCAGGCTCTGACACCGATCATACAGGGACCTAACAGCCCGTATCAAAGGGCCCGGTACCCCATACTCCTAGAGTACCCCCCACAGGGTTCCCTAAGGGATGCGGTCGAACGCCTTCTCCAAGTCCACAAAGCACATGTAGACCGGTTTGGCAAACTCCCACACACCCTCCAGGACCCTGCTGAGAGTGTAGAGCTGGTTCAGTGTTCCACGACCAGGACGAAAACCGCACTGCTCCTCCTGAATCTGAGGTTCGACTATCCGACGGATCCTCCTCTCCAGAACCCCCAAATAGACCTTACCAGGGAGGCTTGAATATCTCAGCAACACCAGAAATTACAGCTTGTTTAATAAGATTTCAGTTTGTGACGTTAAAATTTTTATTGTCTGCTGCTTAAAGGGACAGCAGTGTTTTTGATGTTCTTTGTGTTCTTGGATCTGTTTCTGTTCCAAAATATCTCATGAACCAGTGGACAAATTTTATTGAAACCCAAAAAATAATCGGTGTATGTAAATCTTGACTTGACTTTTCAAGCCTCATTTTCAAGCCATATTTGTGTTTTCTGTTTAAAAACTCAAATATGGCTAAAACTGATTGAAATAATGAAATTTCCCTTTGGGATCAATAAAGTATATTGGTTGATTGATTAACTCGGTCACTTTAAATTAAATTGTGCTCTAACCTCAAAGTAATGAAGTTGCTCGTGATGCTTTTATAAGACTCAAATGCAGAAATTATTGATTTCTAATAAGACATTACAGCTCCAACAATGCTCCTTTTCTTTTGGTGTTTCGATTGTAACAAAACATTCCTGTCAGGATGACTTGGTATGTGACACGAAACACTGAACATGTCCTGTGGGATTTAAAACAGAAGTCAGGACCAGTTCAACCAGCATGAAGCAGCTGTGCCAAACCCCAGCCAACAGCTGATTCGCCTGCTGCAGAGGCGTATTCTTCCACCGGACTAAAATTGGCTGTAATGATGCCTAATCTCCACCTAGGCCTTGTTCCGCTCACGCACGGCCGTCTGAAGGGGAGTCATCAACCGTTCTCCTGCATCAGTTACATAATGAGGACGAGGTTTAAATGAGATTCCACTGCAGACCTGATGCAAGCTGACAGATACATTAAAAGGAGGCCGCTATGCATTTTTTATGGTTTCTATTATTACTCATGAAGGCAAGAGGTGATAATGTTTTTGCCTGTGAGTTTGTGTGAACGTTTGTACTGTTAGCACAATCTCTGAAGAACAAGTCTGAATATGAATGAAACTCTTGGAAAGTAATCGAGTTAAAATCTAGACCTGACTGACTTTTGAAGTCATCCTTATTAAAGATGTCTGCCACAGTCAACTGACCTAACTAAATACACCAATGCTATAACTCTGCTCATTTTACCAATACTGAGTTGAAATTGAGTGCGGTAATAACTGAGCATCGTCCCCAACACATATTTTGAGCACAACACATTGCACGACATCTTGGCTTAAAACCTTGACAATAATAATAATAATAATAATGCGTTATGTGTTGTAATCATTGTATGTTCCCATACAATGGAGAAATTGGCTCTCTTCTTTTAGCCCATCAACCACCAGGTGGATCAGTGGGCAGCTATAGAAAGTGCCCAGGGAGCAACTGGGGATAAGGTGTCCTGCTCAGAGACACTACGAGATGTGCAATGACCAGAGGAATGAACCCAGGACCTTCGGGTCCTGAGTCGGCTGCCCTTAATTTGAGTGAGATGAAGGACAGTGGCAGGACGAACATTGAGGCTGAAAGGCAAGAGGTTAGGGTTAGGCTTAATTGGCTTGACCCTGCAACTCAGGAGCTGCAACAAAGTGTTAGTGTTGGGAAAAAACAGAATCCCCACCAAAATGGCTATAAATCAGTGAATTTCACAGATGTTGATGTTGGTGTGGTGGTAGCGGATGATACATGCTAACATAAGCAAAAGGCTGCACATAATGTTATTTTCAAGGTTTAACCAAAATTGCAAGAACTCCATCATTTCTCATCATAAGATGTTTAGTCTAAAACTCTGACATGAAAGGTGTGGGTGATATGCATTCAAAACAAAGACTTGCTTTGGTTTTGATGCTGTGATTTCCATGACTTCACATCCCCTGCCATTGTTCCCTCCTGTCCAGTGTTTGTGTGGCCTATGTCCAGACAGAAAGAGAGACAAGGAGGAGGACAGGGAGTCTGTCACCTTCTCCATCAGTCCTCTCTCTTCTCTTTTCTTCACCACGGCTGGCCGGACGCACGAGAAGAAACGCTTCTTCGTCCCTCGGTGCTTCGTCACCTCATCCTGCTGTCGTATCCAGGTTTAATCTACTAAATGATCTTTTCTTCCATCAGCGCTGCTCTTTCATCACTTTAAATTTTAATGAGTTTTCTGTCAGAAGGCTGCATTTTGAATTTAAATGAATTGATGAAAGAGCCTCAGTTTCAAGCTGCAAGGTACAAAAAAAATAATAATCCTGATGTGTTATTATCGATTTTATTTTTTCTTCTGGCTTTCAGTTCCAGCATTCTAACGGCCCATCGTGCTCTTTTGTCACTTTGACACTCCACGTAGTTGGAATTAGACTTGGAGCATGAGGTTGTTTTTTTCTTATGCCCACATCTAATGGTTGAACCTCCCAGGTACCAAAGAAACAGGCTCCTGGTGTATCTGAAAACATATACATCTAATCTCAACAGTTCTTTTTCTTTTGGCTGCTCCCTTCAGGGGTCACCACATCGAACTAACTCATACGAAGACTTGGCAATTGTTTTTACGGCGAATGCCCTTTCTGATGTAACCACAGACCTCAGAGCTACCACAGCCCTCCCTGTGGAGCAGAGAGCTGCCATCTAGGGTGAGCAGATGGTGGAGGTTAAGGGCTTGGGGCAAATATGGGTGGTCAAGCCGGCAACCTTCCAATCACAGGCTCGCCTTCTCTACCCTCTGCTGAAATGAGACCTAGACGAAACATTGCAACTAAAAGAAACCGTCCAGAGGATCTGACTTAGCTTTGTTGGATTTTTCTACCTGGATTATTGAGCATGAATCTGGATCATCCTTGTAAGGTCCGTGTAAGAAAAGCATCATATTACTGCTAAGAAACATGCAGAAATACATGAAGAGGGTTTCTAAAATAGTTGTTTATTATTGTCCAATGTCGAAAAATGAATGCGGACAGTATTGTTTTTGCCCATGTGTGTGTGTGTTAGCAAAATATCTTGTGAACCACTGGAGATATTCTAATGAAACTTTCAGGAAGTCGTCAATGACAGATCTATAACTGATTAAGTTTTGGACTCAAACATCTTTATTTACACGAGATTTATTTTCAAGTTCTGATAAAATGGCTCTGTCCTTCCTCGACATCAGCTGATGTTTGGCTTTAAAGTTGACGGGTGATATGCATTCCTTCAAGGAATGCTAGACATACATTCGTTTGTTTGTTTCTTCATTTATTTTTTTAGTTTGAGGTAGAAAGAAGCTCCAGGCAGACGTTTTTTAGACCTGATAAAAGCAGTGGGTTTTTTAATAAGGTATAAAATGATACATTGTTTTTATTTAATTGCACTTTATGATGGATTTTTAAAAATATTATATAATCAGAAAGTTGGCCTGCTTTAAGGCCGTACGGGGAAGTTAGATTCAGATAAGCCACAGTTGTTGATTTTTTTCAGGCAGACTGTTATTTCTCGTCAGCCTTGAGTCCTGCTGGTGCTTTCCATGATCCAAAATGGCCAGATTTGTGGGCATTCCACTGGTCTGTGCTTATTAGCGCCCTCCAAGGTCGTCCCCAACATGCTGGCGAGTTCCAGAAGTCGCAAGTGGTCTACGATTCTCACAAATCACTTCCATTTTAAGGTTGAGGTCGTAAATCAGCTGAGTTTGAGTGTTCGAAGCACGAACCAAACCTTCACATAAGGTCGGCAGCTTCGCCATGGCTGAAACTGATGCCGCCGTCTTTTTTAATAGCCGATAACATTGGTGTCCGACGGTGCCGAAAAGCAGAAACCTTGCTATCATAAATCCAATGATGTAAACATCTTTGGCGTCCTCCTGAGACAATACAGAAAGGCACATCAATTTCCATCCCCTCACGGATCCATATCCATGCCGTACCCTGCTGCATGCGTCTCAGCGGGGCATGAGGGCTCTCCAGGAACCTGTCGCTTGGTTGAAAAAACTTTATCAATTGCGTTGAAAGTCCAGCTGACCAAATCCATGACAGTAATTTACGATTCGGAAGATGTGTAAATAGAAGCTCCGATACACAGGACAGAGAGCAAAAAAAGCAGGAGGGAGATGGGAGAGGGAAGAAGAGCATCCATCTTGTTCGAGAGTGAGTGAGAGAAAAAAAAAATCACCATAAAGAAGACTAAGATGCATGAGGTTCAACTCATTTGCTACCTATAGATGTACAGTATTAGATACAATCAGGGCCAACGATTGCCCAAAATAGAAGCAATGTAACTATAAAGTTTTTAATTATATACAAGCACAATTATGTATTTTCTTAGTCTATATGAGTAAGACGTTTAGCTCCTTTCACAGATTACTCTGTCATTCAGCAGCCAGCTCACATCTTTAAAGGAATCTGTTAAAAGAATGGTTTGCTCTTGAATCATTTTAACTCCGTGACGTCTCAGCTGTAAGTTACTATTTTGTGTTCAAAGGCCACAGTAGTCGAGAAGAACGTTTCCTTCAAAGAACCTGCATCAAACGTCCAATCAAACATCGGTGCACCGTTTCTTTTACCTTGTCGCTCTTGCGTTTTGTTTTTTCCCAGGAGATGGAGCTGCAGTTTGACAGGGAGCGGCTCTCTCTGGAGGAGCAGAAGACGCTCCTCGGTCAGCAGCTGGAGGAGCTGCGAGACGAGCTGACGTCCAAACTGCAGGCCGCCACCGCGGAGGTAAGACACGACCGCCAGGAAACGCTCTGAAACCAGCTGAAACTCACACATATTCACATATTTAAGTGTTTTTTCTTCTGCTGCTCACAGCTACAGTAACTGGGTGTGAGGCGCGTGCACGTTGAGCTGTTAATGGCGAGGTTTAGTGTCAGTTTAGGTGCTACGCTGAAGCTTTTTGTTTGTTTTTGAGCAGCAGTTTCTTCAAAGTTCACTGAAATTCTACTTTAGATGTCAACAAGCTCAGTTTGTCTTTGAGAAAATAGTTTTTCTCAACTTTTATGTTTGACTTTTTACTGGGAATAAAACAGAAATCGTGTTTCATAATGAAAAGAAAAGCTCTTAAACAGTCACTTAAATAACATGTTTGTATCAACTTGAGAATTTAATTGAAAAAAATAGAAGTTTTATACTCTAAATTTCTAAATTTTTATTAAATTTCTCAAACCGCAGAATTAATCCTGACTTTCAAGACAAATATTTTGAAGTTATGAACTGCATATTTTACCAGGATGATGAGTTACATTTTATTTCCCTTTGGGATTAATAAAGTATTTTTGGATGTGAATTTAATTTAATTTTCAAATGGTGAAACTATTCAAAAATCAGAAGCAAATCATTTACAGGAGCATAAAAAGGACAGAAATGTTCAAAATCATTTGTTTATAATAAAATAAATCCAAACTGAGCCTCGAGGTTGTGGCCGTTTATTTTCCAGTTGAACCCTTTTTTCATTCTGAGTGTGAATGAAGCAGTTTTATTTACCTTCAAACTATGAAAGAGTTTAACTCTGATTCATTAAAGCTGAACTGAGAAGCTGAAAGATTAAAGTTTGAAGCCACGATCATCATAAAGTGTTTAAATGTTGAAATTCTGTCTGGGAAAACATGTTTTGATAGATATATATTTTTAGTTTAGTTAAAGATCTTGAAAATTTTCACTGAATGGTTCACTGTGTTCAAACTCGTCGTGACGTTGTTTGTTTGTTTTTGTTTTTTGTTGTCGTTTTGGGCACAGATTTACCATCGTGTTAAAGCCGACTCAGCTTTCTCGCTGTTGTTTTCCTGTTTCTTCTGTGCATTTTTTTGCTAACTACTTCTGCACACTTTAGGATACGTACTGCCTCTATTGTTGAATTTTTTATGCTCCGTTTTTAGCTGTTTTTTCACCTTATAGCTATTGTTTTGATGGTTTTAGCTCTTAGCTACTCCTGTTTGTTTATACTGTTCTGTTTAACTAAACTTGTCTTTTGCGTGTTTTAACTTCTGTTCTGCTTGTTTTTGCATTCACAACTCAGTTTCTAATTATTTAGCAACTTTTAGCAGTCATTCCATCATATTTCTTCAAAGAAATCTAATATTGTGGCACGTTGCTCATTTAAACATTTGAAGTAGAAACAATTATTCAACATGTTTTTCATAAAACAATATTTTATCTTTAATGCCTTTTCCCTCTGATAGTGAGGGTTTCTTTTTTTATTTGTTGAAGGGTGCTTCAGGCTGGACTGTATTTATTTGTTATACACTCCTGGATCTCTGCATGCCATTTTCTGTTATATCTTTGGCAGAAAGAAAGAAAAACCCACTTTGCTGAACTCAAATTGTTGATGTCATTAAAGGTTCCTGCCACACTGAGAAACAGCCTGAAGTGCAACCGAGGAGAAGCTGTCGATGCATTTTACTGGAACTCTCTGTCTGCAGGTGTCTCGGCTACAGCAGGAGGTACAGAAGGGGGAGCAGAACTTTGGAACAGCTGAGGGGCAGATCTCCACACTGAAGGAGGCGCAGGACAAACTACTGGAGGAGCTGGACGCCACCCGGGCCCGGCTGAGAGAGACCAGCAACCTTCTGACCGCCCTGCAGGTCAGACACGTTCCTGAATTTCTGATTTTAACCGTTCCTGCAAACCCTTTGTTCACAGCGCATCCTCACTGCTGGTTCTGGTACCAACAGACAAAATGTTGGTTTCTATTTTCAAGGCCGTTTCAAAACACTTTTAAGTTGCAAAAATCATATTACCAAGAAAATAAACGGCATGAGGCAAACTCTCCATCCAAGGTCACATTAAAACGTGTCTGTTCCTCAGGGAGAGCTCGAAACCCAAAAACGTCAACATGAAGCCAAACTCATCACCACAAAAGAAGAAGAAAAGCTGAAGATGGACAAGATGGCGCTGGAGCTGGAGCTGAAATGGACCGAAACACTCAGGTGAGCTTCTTATTATCCTTTAATAAGTTCAAAGCACTAAAACAAACTGGTTTGTTTCTCTGTGTTTTGTTTCCACTAACAACTTAAACTCACACACACACACAAGTTTGTCTTTCTTTACAGAAACTTTCCAGGGACTTTGCATTGGCTTCCATTCATTATTCATTCATTTCTGTTACCTAACCCTGACCCTAAACCAGGGGTCTGCAACCTGTGGCTCTGGAGCTACAAGTGGCCCTTTAGTCTTTCATATGTGGCCCTTTGAGGCTTTGAAGCTCTTTCCTTTGGTCCTAAAATGTAAAAATATCAATAAATGTCCAAATTCATTGTATGTTTTTAGTTTTATAATGTCACCCCAACTGGCCAGAAAAGCCACCCTCCAATGACCTCTAAGAAGCCCATGGGCCACCAGTTGATAAGCAGGTATTGTGACTCCAGACACATTTTAGTGAACGAAGGGGCAGAAATGTCTCTTTTGATCAAAAAGATTGCAGACCCCTGACCCTAAACCTAACTCCTAACTCACCAATGGCACTGCTCCTTATGGGGCCCAGACTTTGGGCCCCATAAGGAGCAGTTTGTCCTCACAATGCAGTTTGTGTTGGAAAAACGGACCTCACAAGGAAAAAAAAAAACAAAGATGCACACACACAGGTTGTCATCTGTTTCCCAGTGTGGATGGACCGTGACGCAGCATTAACCTTGGTGGGCTCTGCAGCTCCTCGGCTTGATCCGGTGCTAAAGCCCCCGGCTCACGGTCTCTGTAAACGTCTGTTGAACCTTTGAAGTGTGATTTTTGCAAAAAGCCACAAAGAATTAAATCGACTCGCTTTAGGTGTGAACCGGTGTTCCTTTCACACAGTGGCACTGGCAGCCGCTAAACAACTCAAATTGTTCTCATCAAACTATGAAAAAAAAATAAGTTCTAAAGTTTTTACGCTCAAAGACAAGTTTGTACTTTTGATGTCAGAATGATTTTGGACTCTAATTAATGCCAGCTGAAGGGTTATTACTAATTTAAATCAGAAGCTAAATTTCCTCTTCACATTATTGGCTTCAGAATGAGCAGTTTTTGACATAGCTCTCAGAAAAACAGCTCAGTTTATGTATACCGAGCCAGTTCACAACAAGTCATCTCACAGTCCCCTACAGAAATAAAACAAGTTCATCCGTTCCAGTTTATTCTGATTATAATAATATAATCATTATCAATCAAAGGAGGTCAGCAGATTACATTAAACCTTTACTTCAGCACAATAATGTTGACAACAGTGGAAAGGAATGATTCCCTTTTATCAAGAAACCACCAGAGCCAGGTTCTGGGTGGACGGCCATCTTGGGTTTGAGAAGACAGGAGAGAGACACAAACGGAGGATTGGTCCAGGTATTGTTTTTATGTGAAGATAAAGAAATACACAGATTAGTGTCGGCAATAATAAATACACATGTGAAGAGTAGAGTGCGTAGACAGCAGCGGGGTAACGAAATGTGGTCATCTTTTCTATAGCAGCAGAACGAAGGGATAGCTCAGGAAATGAGGGTGACTGAGATGACTTCTGTTGTGACTTGTGGCTAAATAAATAAACTGAAGTGAATTGAATTGAAAGCCAAATCAACCCTAACTATAGGATATATCACAAAGCCTGGTTTTAAAGGTAGACAAGTCAGCCTCACATACAAAAACAGGGTCTGTTCCATAAGAGAGGAGTCTGGTAACTGAAAGCTCTGCTTCCTATTTTTCAAACTCTAGGAACCACAATTAAACCAGCATCTGTTACGAATTAATGTCGTTTTGAAACTGCATTGTTTTCAACGCAGATCATTGTCCGTTTGTGATACTTGTACTCCTGAACCTTACTGCTGCTTTTGATACTGTTGACCACAGTATCCTTATATCATGGTGATGGGGGAAGTTATGTAAAGGTCATGGATGTTTTCACTTACTAATGTTAAAATAATATAGAACCATGTATGTGAAGTTAAGAGAGTCTTTCTGTTTACTCAGAGAGGAGTCTGATAACTGGTAAACTCTGACGCCTTCAACAACTGAGTTGTGAAGCAGAGGTCGTGTCTTGACCTTGTCTCTGTCTGTTAACGGGAAACTAAGCTTTTTCTAATTCTGTCCGCGGGCTGACCTTGGACCAGAGTGTCATGTAACATTATGTATGCCTCTATATTAACTCTGCCCCCTTGCAAGGAGTAAACTGGAGTGAAAAATCTTCTTGGATCCTTCTGTGTGACTTACTTGATTAATGAGTTGATGATAGGATAATTAACTTATCCAACACATGGTTAGAACACTGGGTTGGGATTACAGGTGCAGCATTAGAGTGGTTCTATTCTTATCTGGGTGACATAACTTTTTGTGTTAATGTTGGTAATATTTTATCTACTTCAGTGCCTCTTACCTGTGGGGTTCCACAGGGCTCAATTCTCGGACCCTTTCTGTTTTCACTGTATCTGCTCCCTTTGGGGTCTATCCTGAGGAAACATGTTCTTTCGTTTCATGGTTATGCTGAAAACCAAATAGTTCATGCACAATTCACCCTCTGTTAAAATGTCTTGATAACATTAAGGCATGTATGGCTTCAAATTTTCAAGTTTCAACAATCAGAAAACTGAAGTCATTGTGTTTAGCCCTATCTCTACAGCTGTATCTGTTCCTGTTAACCTTGATTCTCTTGAGCCATATCTTAAACAGTCTGTTACAAATAAGGATGGTTTTGGACTCTGGTTTTAAGTTTAATAAACATTCTGTTCTGCAGAAAAGCTTCTTCCAATTAAGGTAGATAGCTATGCTTACGTCAGTGTTGACCAGACCTGAACTTGAAAAACCAGTCCATGCATTCATTACAACCCGGCTAGACTACTGTAACACGATTTATGTGGGGGTCAGTCAGGTCTCCATTTCACATCTCCAGCTTGTCCAAAATGCTGCAGCTCGGCTATTAACAGGAACTCGTAGGTTTGAGCACATTTCACCAGTTTTATCCTCCCTTCACTGGCTCCCTGTACGTATCAGAATAGATTTTAAAATTCTCCTGTTGACCTTTAAGTGCCTTAATGGCCTTGCACCCTCATATCTCTCTGACCTAGTTCAACCATATGTTCCTTCTTGGATGCTGCGACCATCGTCGCTTGGGGTGGCTGCATGTTGGAGTAGCTCTGTTACATTCGTTCTGAGTTATTGCTTTTGAAAACATTAATTCCTCTTTTTTCTGGATGTAAATCGCTTTTTTCAGATTATTATTTACTCTAATATTGGATGCTGTGCAGCTGGAAGGATTGTTACTGAAACCTTTTAACTTTTGGGCATTTGTTATGATGCGTAACCATGGCAACAAGGTGTTCTTTTTTTTAACAACTGGGAGCAGCTGATTAACATCTCAAAAGCTCAAATACCTCAGCTACAGCCTAAATCCCAAATACGTTGAAAAGGAGGCGCCGTGGACGAATTCCCGTCAACCTGGTGGTGGTGCTCAAGTACCTGACCACTGAGATCATGGAGCTGGTGAAAAACTCGGCTCGTGACAATGGGAGGACTGGGATCGTCCCCCGGCACCTTCAGCTGTCTGTCCGTGGCGACAAGGAGCTCGGCAGCCTGCTGGGAGGAGTGACCATCGCTCAGGGAGGAATTCTGCCAGGCATCAGGGCGGTCCTGCTGCTCAAGAGGACCGAGAGGCACGCCAAATCTGACAGCAAGCTGGATCCAGGTGGCTGGATCATATCTGTGGCCAGATTCTTTGGATTCGCTGCAGGAGCTCCTTCCTGCCCACAGCTATCAGCATCTAACTACTCGAATGAAACCAGGATGATGAGCTACAACAACACTTAATTTCGTTTTGGGATTAATAAAGTATTTTTGAATTGAATTGAATCTGACCAGCTGCTTTTGGTTGTACCAAAAAACAGGTTGAGTCTCAGAGGAGATCGAGCTTTTTCTGTCGTGGGCCCTAAACTCTGGAACAATCTGCCCCCCCAACATTAGACAGACCACTTGAGTCTCTGCTTTTAAATCTCTTCTAAAAATACCTGTTTTCACTGACGTTTAACACAGTGTGATTTGATGTAATATTTTAGTTTTGTTTATTTATGTTTTTCTTTTGTTGCTTTTAATTACATGTTGTTATAATGTTTAAATTAATTACTTCCATTTGTTTTATGTTAAGCACTTTGGTAACAGTTGCTGTTTTAAATGTGCTTTATAAATAAATTTGACTTGATATGATTTGACTTCAGAGTTCGTCATACTGGTGAGTCACTGTATTAATGTCAATTAATTATGACAAAAAACAGTTTTGTCTTTTTTAAATATTATGTGAGCTGCAGTTAGTGTCCATTTATCCCTCCATTCCCAAGTCACTGTGTTTCATGTACGAATGGTAGAAGAGTTCATGAGGAACTCTATGATGAAAGTGAAGTTGACGTTTGGCTTTTTGTTCGCAAAATGCTGTCACTTCATTGTTTTATTCTTCGAGGCATTTGTGTAAAGTTGTGTCATAATTAATGTGTGAATCCTTGAGTTATGTGTTTTGATAGGTCGCATTGACCTTTGACTACCAAAATGTCCTCACATCATGCTTGAGTGCTTGTACATTTCTTGTTTATAACAACAACAACAACAAAAAACTTGAGGCTTTTCTGAAATTCATTGCAGACAAAAAACATGAAAAACTGCCTGAAACGTGTTTCAAGGTGACTGCTGTGATTCTTGCAGTTGGCATAAAACTTTAGTTCTCGACTGCTCAGAAACCAAAACGTTCCTAACTTTGTCAAAACTTGACACTCCAAAATGAATCTCCTATGAATCTAGTCCTCCTGACTAGAGTTGCATTCGAGCCGAAAAAATCCGTCCTGACCCGGCCCCAGCCGATCCGATCAAATTAACTGTAATTACAGGCCCGAACCAAAAGAAAACCACATTGTTTTTATTAAGCTTTTACTGCTTTTGTAAGCAAATCAGTTTGACGTAATATTTTAAAAATGTAGTTCAAAGAAAG